GCCGCAGCGGCGGCGAGAGCAGGGCTCCCCGCGGGGCTCCCCGCGGCGCCCCGGCTGGCGCGGCTCGCTCCGAGGCCCTTCTGGCCGCTTGCTGCTTAAATAGCAGCTTTGCTGCTAACGTCCTCTCCGAATCGCCCGACATGGGCGCGAGCGAATGCCAAATTGAGCAATGCCCGACCAAAGAGCAAGGGATGACCTCTGAGATAAAGTCCAAGAGGCGTGAGCTCCGGAGGGCCAAATTTTTGCCTCCTTTGGGGCTCTGTTCTGCAGACCATGGAGAAGTTGGGAGCTTGCCTTGAGGAAGGGGTTAAGCCGGGTTAAACTGCCCCGCAGGAGCCCCGGGGAAAGCAGCCGTCCCTCGCGTGCGGCAGCGGCGGGCGGGCCCGGTTCCCACCGGCGTGGGAAATGCCTCTTGCAGTCGCTTTTCCTTAGCAAAAGTCGGGATCCCAGAAATAACCTTCCTAGGACCTGGCTGGGCTTTGGGGGGAAATACTGACCCCACCACCACCACCACCACCGCCACCCCAGCCGAGTGCGGTTCCCGAACCGACCGCTGCAATGGGGTCTCGGGATCCTGCCTCCCACCGAGGAGGGGGATTAAAACAGCTCCTTTAAGGTCTGTATTGCAGCACGCATAGCACGGTGGTGGTGTACGGTGTACCCCTCCCCAAAAAAGGGTCCTTAGGACTAGAGCGGGGCACCGGACTAATTTGGAGAAAGACGGGGAGAAACGGTGGGAGCTCTGCCTCCGTCCAGCCTTGCCTCCTCTGCGTCTTCTGTCTTGAAGCCTGGCCCCTTTCCTGGGAGGGGGTCGGGGCACTTCTAGAAAGGAAAAACTTTTAGAAAAACTCATTCAAACCTGGCTCTGCTGCACTTCGGCTTCTCTGCCCCACTTCCAGGCCAGTTCCCAATTAAAAGGGGGCTTGGGACTCCTGGGTCCCCTTCCCAGCTCTGCTTCTGCCTTGCTGCACTGATCGAGAGAGCTTATTCCTCTCCCTCCCCTTCCGAGCCTCAGTTTCCCTAAAGACAAAACTGAGCTTCGGCAGCTTGCCCTTGAGTTTTTGGAGGGCCGCGGAGCTGCTACGGGACTCGTTAATAATCTGCCGATCTTTTAGCGGCGGCACACGGGACTTTTCAGCCGCCGTTCTTAAATTCGGCGTTCAGAGCTTTACCCAATTTATCCCTTGCTCTTCGTGCTCTCCGCAAACAGGCCAGTTCCCTACCGGTCGCAACGACGCTGTAAGTAGGTGCAAAACACAGCTCGCTGAAGGAGCCTCGGTAGTGCCGCCAGCATCGCAAAGGCACCGCTTAAATTATCCTCCTTAGCCTCGCGCGCAGCCGCGTAACGGCCTCCTCGGCCCTTCGGCGGAGGAGGAAAAACCCTTTGCGTCCAAGCTGCGCGTGGGTTCGCCCCGGCTTCGGCAGCTCGAGAGGCCGGCCTGGCTGCCAGCGGCTCGCCCGCCAACGTTAAACCGAGAGCTCCAGGCTAAACCACGTCCCAAATTAAAAGGCCGTCGACCGGGACGGTATCGCAGCCGACGAAACCCTCCTGGCTGCCTCGCAGAGAGGGCCTGGCTTAACCGCCCCGGCGCCGGCAGCGCCGCGCTCCCCGGCCTGAGCTATTCAGGAGAGTCCACCGCCGAACCCTGAAACTGATGCCGTTTTCTCTGTCTTGCTTCCTTTTCTTATTTTTTCTCTTTTCGTTTGGGTTGGGCTGTCTTAACCGTTTCCCTTCTCTGCTCTGACTCTTCGTTGTTGTTTTTTTTTAATTCCGGACACGTGGGGAAATCTCTGTCTTGCTCAATGTCAATCCCGCTGTTTTATTTGCGCTCCTCTCTGTTCATAACTCCCGATATATTTTGTGTTCTGTGGGGCTACAAACTTCCTGATTCTGACCCTGGATTTTTTAATTACCGATTTACATGCATATATATTGCTTTGTGTTTTGTTTCCTGACATTGCCTGCGTTTACTTTTTGTAATAACCTTGTTGTTCTGTGCTCAACGTCTATCGTTTAATTGCTGCTTGGGTTTTATCCATACAAACCTCCTTCATGCTTATTTTTGGTTTTGTGCTGCTTTTTTGTTCCCTCCCCACCTCTTCCAAACACACCCGGTTCCTGCGTGACTGTGTCCAACAACCCCCCCACCCCGGTCCCATCCTCCCCTTCTCTCTCTTGCTTTCGCTTGTCCCACCCATGAAAACGCTGCAGGCTTTTACGGGCTGGATGAATCTGACCTCGACAAGGTCTTCCACTTGCCCACGACCACTTTCATCGGAGGAAATGAGTCGGCTCTTCCGCTCCGGGAAATCATCCGTCGGCTGGAGGTAAGAAGCGCCGGGAGGCCGTGCAAGCGGTGGGAAACCTGTTTGCAGCCCAGGTTGGGGGCGGCAGAGCGATTGCTTTTTGAAAGTCGTCTTTTATTTTTTTCCCTCTCGCCCCACGGAGACGAGGATTCGCGTTCTCCTCCCGTTGCTGTTTCTGGTTAGCACGTAAAGCGCTCCCAGCTCTGCAGAGGCGGCGAGGAGCTGTTATCCCTCGGCGGATCTGGTTGTGCTCCGCTCCCAAGAGCGGACTGCGCTCCTGACTGTCCCTTCTCCCCATCTCCGGGGCACCCTGGCTGTCCACCCCGTTACGTGCCAGCGTGACTCCCCTGCTGGCGCTTGTGCCGCTTGGAGCGCTGCAGCAGCCTTCCCCTGGCTTTGCAGTCCTGCTCCCTCCCCAGCCACAGCCGCACGCCCGTCACCTGGGTCTTGCTGCTTCCTCCAGCCTGTGCCAACGTGCAGCTTTGCAGCTTTTTTGGTTGGGAATTATGCTGCTGAACCCTTGCCCGGCTCTTAGCGGCAGCCCGGCGTTAGCCCTGTTGCCTCTGCTCGCCTGCAGCTTCATCCAGGGCTGGGCAATGGGTTCAGCGTGTCGAAAACTGAGCAAACCCTAGACACCTGCATGCTTTCTGTGCTTTGAAACCTGTCCAGTGCAGCTCCTTTCTTCCTGGCCAGCAGCTAGTCAGATAAGTTTTTCTGCTGCCGCAATTTAAAGCGGCAAACAGTGCTAGAAAAGCACAGGAGCGGGCCAGAGGCAAGCGATAGCCCGGCTGCCCTTGGAGGTACCCAGCGTGGAAGCGATGGCCCTTTTGGAAGGACTTTGCTGGGGCTGCGGCTTCCAGCTCTTGGAAGGAGTACCATCTCTTGCCGCCTTTCATTATGTGCCCTGTCTAGTCTGTGAGCACAGATGGCTCCCAGTCCAGCTGGAGTTGTGTTCATGCTGTCTCTGCTGAGACAGGTTGACCTTGGGCGAGGCGAGGCTGAGTAAACATCTTAGATAAGTGACAAGCAGAACGGCTTCCCTGTTTTATTGGAGTTGTCTAGCTGATTTGCTCTCCGCGGTAATGAGCGGGGTCTAAAAAGATGCTGAGTCCCTAGCTGAAGGGCTCTCTGTAACCTCCTTTCCTGTGGGAGTCTCCAAACCCCGCGCGGACGGGTAGTAATGACACTTGCGCCTGAAGTTGCCAGCCATGCAAAAAAAGCGAGTGCTTTGCTCCAAGAGGAGTGCTCCAGAGCCCGGGGTTAAACCCAGAAAGCCTGACATCCAGTCTGGCTTTTCTTAAGGATCGTTCCCTGGGGAGTGTGAATCTGGTCACAACTGAGACGACTGTGAAAATCTTGCCTCGGAGGTAAAGGATTCAAGGATCTGGGCGCCTTGAGGAAGGGGAACGAATCAGATTTTATACTAGAGCAGTGCCCGTTCCCAGCGCGTGCCTGAGTCACGTGGATGATCCCAACAGCCCCGTAGCAGCCTGGAAGGTCCCCTGCAGCTGAAAGGACCTCACCGTGCCTGGCAGCGCTAGCAAAACCAGCTCAAACTATCTGCAGGTTCCCAAAACGCAGATATGCCGACCCCACCGCTGGTGATGGGGCTCCAGGCTTCTGTAGCATGGGCCTGTCGACCTGCTCACAGGTCTTTGCCGAGAGCTGTCGCCTCCGATGCTGTTCTGGGCTGCTCTTGCCAGTGCTAAACCAGCAGCGTTAGGCTGAGAGGCAGGAAGATTTATGTCTCTGCTCATGCAGGAGAGCTCTTTGTCTCGCTGAAAGGTTAAAGAGAGGAATGAGGGAGTCCCTAGCTGCGTGGTCCGATAAGGCATCGCACGCGCCTGTCTTTGAGGGGGGTGAAAACATGTTAAACCTCCTGCTATTGTTTCACGGCCCTTCCGTTCCTCTCGGCATAGATGGCGTATTGCCAGCACATCGGTGTGGAATTCATGTTTATCAATGACCTGGAGCAGTGCCAGTGGATCCGGCAGAAGTTTGAGACCCCGGGAATCATGCAGTTCACCAACGAAGAGAAGCGCACGCTGCTGGCCAGGCTCGTCCGCTCTACCAGGTACCCCGCTTTGCTCGCCGGCCGCCTGCCAGCGGAGCGGCGATATCCCCTAGGAGTGCTTTCTGCTAACCACTGATGCCTCCCCTCGCTGCTCACGATGAGGGGAGTCTCCGATTCCTTATCAGTCCGCCCAGCTCGTGACACTCATGTGACGAGGACGCCTGGCAGCCTGCCATCGGGGAGGTGTGCTGCAGTGCTCGCCGCAGCGAGGGTGCCCCTCCCAGCCGCTCTCCTCCGGGTGTGTGCGCTCGGTTACGTGGTGCAGGGCTGCAGCCTCTCTCCCGCTTTGTGCCCGCATGCCAGATGCGGCGAGGCAGCGGGTTACGGTCTCGCTTCCGGGCTTGGGCAGCTTCTCTACCCCAGCGAGTCGCACGTCAGCTGTACGGCTCTTCCCCCCCCCGCCAGGAGAGCAGCAAAACCCGCTGCTGTCTTCAGCCTTCCCCTTTGTTCCCCTGTTGCGAGGGGTTTGTTTGTTCCCTGTTGCCAGCATCCGCAGCCCTTGCAGCCAGCACCTGAGTCACATCTCCTTAACGTCATCTGTTGTGGTCTCACCGGGCCGAGTTAATCAACAGAGACGATCACCAGGGTGACGCAGCTGAACTGCTGGGCTGGCAGGTCTTGCTCAGGTGCTGCCAGTGTGTTGGCAAAGAGCCTGAAAACACAGATGATCCTGGAAAAAAAGGTCTAAAAAAAACAGCAGGCTTAAGGGCATCCCCGTGTCAGTGTGCGTGTGGGATGGGGGAGCAGCAAGCCAGGCAGCAGCACCCTGGAGGAGGGGATCCGGGGTGACGGGGAAAGCTGTCGGACTGCTGCATAACGCCTGCTTAAGCATCAGTTCACGCTGCTGTGCTCTGGCTCCCTCAGTAAGGTCCCTGTCTCTTCTCTGCTTTCCACCATCAGCCGTGGCCCTGGGAACGATGTGTCGCTCACTTTCTCTTCCAGGTTTGAAGAGTTCCTCCATCGGAAGTGGTCTTCGGAGAAGCGCTTTGGTCTGGAAGGCTGTGAAGTGCTGATCCCAGCCTTAAAGACCATCATTGATAAGTCGAGTGAGAAGGGAGTGGATTATGTTATCATGGGGATGCCCCACAGGTAACCCTGTCTCTATCCAGAGCGGTATTTGGGTCATGGAAGAGGGGATGCTCACGGGGTTCAGCATTGCAGAGCAAAACTGGCTTCTCCTATTACCTAACTAGTCTTGCCCCTCCGGTGGTCACGCGTTAGCTGTCCACTTAGTTTGAGAACTGCAACTCCCCCTTAATCTCCACCTAATACTGCCTTCAGCTCACTCATAATTCATCTCAAGAGTGGTGAGAGGTGCGGTGTCTCGAGTGGCAGAGCGTTTGCCCTGAGGTGCAGGAAGCGCACTCTGCTCTCTCCAGAGGAAATGCTCGGCACACGGCTTGGTGCAGTGCCCGGGTGGGGCTGCGCGCTGAGCTGCAAAGGATGGAAACTCCCCTGGAAAATCTGTCACTGTCGCTCCAGGGCAAACATTATGTCTTTGGCAGAAAGAGCTCGATTTCGTAGCAGAGCTTGAAGCCGAGAGCAGGGTTCGGCTTGACTGTCCTGTGGAAGTTGTCAGGATGTGGTGGTGGCCTGTCCATCTTCATGCTGAGGGGTTTTTAACCTCTTAATGTGACAAGAGACTTTCTTGTATAGAATTGCAGAACCCTGTCCCCTCTCCTGGTTCTCCGCTCTGGCCATCCTGAACCTCAGTCACTTGGGAAATGTGGGATCATCACCCCAGCTCTGTGCGATGGGGGGAATCCGGGTCTCTCCTCGAGCTGTACCTGGTCAGCTCTTGAGGTCACGCTGGCTTTGCTTGTTGCTGACGGCAGTTCTGATTTCACAGAGGGCGTCTGAACGTTCTTGCCAACGTGATCAGGAAAGAGCTGGAGCAGATCTTCTGTCAGTTTGACTCCAAGCTAGAGGCTGCTGATGAGGTGAGTTCCTTCCTCCGTTCTGTGTCCGTAGCAATTTGCTGTAATCTGCCATTGCCTCCAGGCACTTTGAGCAGCGCTGGGCTGGGACTGAATGTGGACATGTAGCATGAGCAGCTCTCTAGTATGCATATGGGAGACTTTCAGCACGTATGGAGAGGCTCTGTCTTAGGCATTGATGGGAACAATCTCCTTTCTCCAGCTCTATTTTCCAGTGTCTTCCCCAAACCCACTGCACTTCCTTCTTCCCCTGCCCCTAGGACCTTGTGTAAATGGGCTTGATGCTTGCTCCTGATGTTTGTTCATACTTTGGCACCTGGAAAAGCCTCTTTTTGCTTTGATGGGAACGACGTCAGCCCTTAAAGTGAGTGCCTGCTGCTTTCTGCCAGTGCTTCGGATAGCTCGGAGTTACTGGTCTGTTAGCAGACGTGATTCCCTGGAGCGTCTCTGGCGGCTGCTGCTCTGGCAGGAAAACGTCCCCTTTGTCTAGCGCCCAGGGTCACTGCCATCCTGCCTGCAGCTGCAGGCAACAGGATCTCCTTCCCTGCATCAAAACCAGCTCGAGTTCCTTGAGGGTTCCTTGACTCTCCTCTCTCTCTCCATCAGGGCTCCGGTGATGTGAAGTACCACTTGGGAATGTACCACCGGAGGATAAACCGTGTCACCGACAGGAACATCACTCTCTCCTTGGTGGCAAATCCCTCTCACTTGGAGGCAGCTGATCCTGTGGTTCAGGGCAAGACTAAAGCAGAGCAGTTTTATTGTGGGGACACTGAAGGGAAGAAGGTAGGTGGTGCTGAAACGCCTATTCCATCATAGTGGAGTGGCTAAGACTGGACAGAGATGGTGGGAGGCAAGCAGATGGACCTGTTTGGAGAGTAAAGTCAACAGATTTTGTTTGCCCTGCCATGCCCCTTCCCCTGCCATCACCTCTCCTATCACCCTGGCTTTGCTCTTCTGTCTTTCCCCGTCGTCTTTGGTGATAACTTGGGTAGGAGCTCGACCACCCTTGGGCTCCCATTCCTGCTCCCTCTGTCTCTGAAAGATCAGCTTGCTCTGCCCAGCCAGGGCAGGCTGTGGGGAGAAGCAGAAGCACAAATCTGTAGTTGGAAGGCAGGGAAATGACGAGTCTTCCTATTTCTGAAAGCCAACCTGAGCATCGCAGCTTGGAGGCCTCAGAAGTAGGAGCCTCAACCTAAACTTGACCAGGTATAGCCAATCTCCAAGTTGGAAAAGGTAGAGCTGGAAGGAGAACCCACCTTCAGGGAGGATAGCTGTCTGACAGCACCTGCCCAGATGCGAAAGCAGGCCGGGAGCAGGTTGTGGGGGGGATTGATTTGCAAACACTTTCACTGTCTGAATCATTGCAAACCTGTCTCTAACGCTCCAGAAGAAGTGGAAGGGTGAGATCAAAAGTACTTCCCTTCCTCCCACACTCCAAGGACTGAATATAAATAGACAAACTCTGTCCTCAGCTGACAGGCAGTGTCCTCAGCCAGCCCCTGGGTAAAATATCAAAATATGTAACTCAAGCCATAGTGAGCTCCCTGCACCAGCCCTGGCCTGGGCTCAGCAGGGAGTACAAAGTCTCCTGCCAAAACGTCCTCTATCTCCTTGGGTGAGAGCTTGGGGGAAAAGTGCATTTTTCTTGACTTTCCCACTCAGAAGACGACCTTGTTTTCAAGCATGTGTATTTGGGGATGGGGCTTGAATCATGTGCCCCTCGTATCCCAGCTGGTCCCTGATAATCTCCAGCTATCAACTGCGGAAATGGTCCATCCCACTGCCTGATTGAGCTGCCCTGGATGTGCGATCCTCTGGAGGGTGTTGAGGTGGGATAGCTGATGGCCCAGCCTTTTTCGCATGAACTGTAGCAGGCACGCCAGCCGTGGCTGACTCCACCCTTGAGAAACTGTCAGACGTGTTCCCGAGTCCTTTCTAGGAGGCCGAGGGCTCGAGGAAATGGGATTTGTGCCTTGGCAGAGCCTTTTCCTGGCCACTACCCCTGCCTAGCTGAGTCCTCTCCCCACATGGACACTCTCAGTCATACTGACTGTGATATCTTTGCCCCGCAGGTGATGTCCATCCTCCTGCACGGAGACGCGGCTTTTGCTGGGCAGGGTATCGTGTATGAGACGTTCCACTTGAGCGACCTGCCCTCCTACACTACCCATGGCACCGTTCACGTCGTGGTGAACAACCAGGTATGACCAAATCGTCACGTGGAGCTGGTCTGCTTCGGCCCTACCAGAGTCATTTCACTGCAACCAGCTCCTGGGCTCTGGGTGCTCCTCTCAGCTGGGTTGCTTGGGGCTGGATGGGTGCAGCAGGATGATGGTGCTGCCACAGGCTGCTGAGCAGCTCAAGTGTGAGGAGCTCCAGCCAGAGTGAGCCTGGGGGAGCCTCAACTCAGCAATAGCAGCTGAGCTGACCTGAAAGTAGTGCGTGCGTTCACCTGGCGCGTTCCTGAGCAGATGAAATGCTGCTGGCCCTGTGCCGAGCCAGCTTTCCATGCAGACGCTGATCTGCTCCAAAGAACAAGCCGCAAAATATAGCGTAGCTGCTTTACGGAGCCTTACTACTGTGTTGGTTCTGTTCCCTCTTCACCTGCTACAGATTGGGTTCACTACAGACCCCCGGATGGCCCGCTCCTCTCCATACCCAACTGACGTCGCCCGTGTGGTGAACGCGCCCATTTTCCACGTCAACGCGGACGACCCAGAAGCAGTGGTGTACGTGTGCAACGTGGCAGCAGAATGGCGAAGCACCTTCCATAAAGATGTGGTGGTGGATTTGGTAAGAGATGAGGAACACGGCACGAGGCTTGGTTTTAAAGTTATGGTTCTGCTGTGGATTTCTGGGCTAGTCAAAAAATACCTCCAGGACTATATTTTCTGGAAGCTGGGAGGGGGGAGGGTCTCTTCAGGTGTTGTCCAGCCTTTGTACCTGCTAATTTTGAGGGGAGGGAGGGAGATGAGGTAAAAGCAAGGAAACAAGAATGTAATAGCACTTGGAGAGGAAATGTTGTCTCTCTGTTGACTTTATTGGACCCTGCCGCTTCCTCCGGTGTAAAGGAGGTCAGAATTGGGTCCCTCCTGGGCTGTTTTGGACTTTCTTCGTAGCTCAGAGACACCCAGGTAACTCTGACCGCTTTCTGAGCTGCGGGTTTCAAAGGTTCTTTCCCTTCCTGGTAGGTGTGTTACAGGCGAAATGGTCACAATGAGATGGACGAGCCTATGTTCACGCAGCCCCTGATGTACAAACAGATCCGGAAGCAGAAGCCAGTGCTCCAGAAATATGCAGAGCTGTTAATTTCACAGGGGGTGGTAAATCAGCCGGAGTATGAGGTACTGTCACTTGGGGCTTGGGAAGAAAACTGCAGGCGGCACCTCCCTGAGGGCTGGGTACCAATGAGGGTTGAATGATGGGGGGAAGGAGGACCTGACACAACGCAGGATCCGCGCGATTGCAGAGAGCGCTTCTGTCTCTGCGGCGAACAGGTTTCTTGCTTCAGACTGCAGCTCCTTGCAGGACAAAGGAGAGGGATGGGAAGGGTAGCAGGGGCACCTGAACAACACGCGGTGCCCTGCTGCTGTGCCTGGCCTACTCACTAGGAGGGAAGGGCAGACAGGTATCTAGGGAGACTCCAGCGCTTGTTACCAGCACACTTGTCCCTCTTCCAGGATGGAGCTTGCTCTGATAACAGCCCTTCCCCAGCTGTTGGGTGATTCCTGTGCTAAGCCAGGAGCACCAAAGCCCCTTAAACCCACTTGTTCAGTTCAGACCGCGCTGTGAAAGACATCACGGGGCCATTCCTGCCTGTGCC